GTTCAAGACAGCTGGTTGAAGAGGCATTCGGGTAAAGGGGAAGCTCTTCCCTGACATTCCAGTAACTCCAAAAAAGTATTCTGTCGCTACACAGATTTTCCAAAAACAGGATCATTGGCTATCCTTCCTCTTTTTTTTTTGGAAAGGACACTCCTCTTCCACTATCCTTCCCTGCTTAGGTGCACTGGAGGAGGTCCAGCTGTGGAGCAGAGTGGGAGACAAGGTCCCACGAGTCCTTACACCAGCCTGCTTTTTCTTCTATACATGGGGTGGTCCATGATCAGCAAAAAGGATCATTAGTGGTCATGGCTTCCACTTCTGACACTGACGAACCCTGCAGATGGAGTCTCCCCACCTTACTGGAGTGAACTGAACCTTTGGACCTGGCCTTTGGGCTAGCAGGTCAGCGTCCAGAAGAGAGAGCCTAGCTCTGCTTTCTGTGAAACCTGTCAGCCTTGGCATGTCTGTCGTTCCTCTCAGAGACATCCTTTGTGTAGCACTGCAGACAGAGAAATATTTGTCTGTGTTGTCCCTGGTCCAAGGCACCCAAGTGCCAAACAAACTCTTTTTCCCTTTTTGACCTTGGGGCTTCCCAGACAGATGAAGGCAACAAAGTTGGTGAAAGGGCTGGAAGGAATGTCCTATGAGGAGCAGCTAAGGGCTTCAGGCTTGTTTAGTTTGGAGAAAAAGAGGCTGAAGGGTGACCTCGTTGCTCTCTACAGCTTCCTGAGGAGGGGAAGGGGAGAGGGAGGTGCTGATCTCTTCTCCCTGGTATCCAGTAATAGGACATGTGGGAATGGTTTGAAGTTATGCCAGGGGAAGTTTAGACTGGACATTAAAAAGCACTTCTTTACCAAGAAGGTGGTCAAACACTGGCACAGGCTTCCTAGAGAGGTGGTCGATGCCTCAACCCTGTCAGTGCTTAAGAAGCATTTGGACAATGCCCTTAATAACATGCTTTAACTTGATCAGCCCTGAACTGATCAGGCAGCTGGACTAGATGGTCCCTTCCAACTGAAATAATCTATTCTATTTCAGTACTTTGCAGCAAATTTTCCAGGTCCTTGAATACTGAGTGATGTTACCAGATTCATTAAAACCTACCCCTGAAGAAAAATATGTAGTTAATATCTACCTGTCTGCTGTAATCACTTGTTTATTGCATGTTGTCTCAATGCATTTCTTCTCTATTTCAGCATGTGATTTCAAAAGAGCAGTGACTGTCTCTTGTCATACATAATATAATGCCTCATGCCACGCAAGATTATAAAAGCAGGGCTTATATATTGCCTTTTCTCAAAATGTCCTAAGGATATCTTTTTATTGTTTAGTATACTGCAGTGCATTGACATCCTCACTGAACAAAACTGACTCTGTTCTGGGATTAGGAGCAACGCAGCTACACCATGTTAGCACCAAGCCCTGCTGAGCATCTGGGTCCATTAGCTCAGGCAACATAGCTACGTTTCTTTGAGCTCTGAAGTCAAGTGAGCATCCTGAAGAGCTTGGTGTTGGATGAACATGAGAGCTTGGGGAATCACTACACTGTAAGCCACACTGGGATGAGGATGTACCCAAAATGGCTTTGGTTTGTGGCTTGGATAAAAAAATAGCGAGCCTTGTGGTCTAAAATTAGTCAGGGATCCCTGAAAAGTTTTGTCATCATACCTCTCATTGTTTGGTATTGAACTGTGATGGCTTCTAATATGCACCTATTGCACTCACGCCTTTAGGAAGTTCATGGCCAGGGAGTCTCATGGCCTGAGTGAACCATTGATGGCATGGAGGCAGCACAGCCCTTTACCATCATCCTGAAAGAGGAAGTAGGACAGCAGTGGAGCATCCAGTTGCCAAACAGGCTTAAAATATATCAAACACTCAGTTTAAGCAACTGTCACCAGGTGCTACTTGACTGTATGAGACGCTGTGGTTTGGAAGAGGAAGTGACTGTCATTAGAGGGTCCGTGGGAATTTTTCAATAAAGTCGCTGCCTGCACTTTCATCACTGCTTGTTTCTACAATATTAGATTTGACACAGCTGTTAGTTGCAGGGCTTTTCTTTGAAGAGTTAGAACATCCTATAGCTGTCATTTAGTGAGTGATACTCTTCTACAAACTATCTGGACTTCTATAAATATTGCTGACTCCATGCAGGGCATTATTATCCAATCTCCCAGAGAACATCTCTAATCACAGTCTACCCGCCCGTGTCAATCTAGGACACATCCAACCCTTAGAAATAGCAGTGGAGAAATCATAAAATGTTCTAACACATGGAGTTGGCAGACAAGTGCGAGACAAGATCACAAACTGTGCAAAATGAACAGTTTGCAAGTGAACGTGCTTCTCTCTTTCCTCCATCAAAGTGCTGGCTGAGTATCTTGCAATGACTTAAAATTAACACGCTAGCCTTCTTCCTTTTTTTTTTTTCTTTGAAATAAATTTCCCTTTCATCAGAGCTGCCTACTTGACAGTAACACAATTACCTGCAGTGGATCATCTTCTGTTCCATGACCAAAGCGGTCTCTTTTTTTCCTTATGAATTCATAAACAGTTTTCAGGTTGAAACAGATCTGAGAGTGATGTTAGAATGGGCGTTTTTTTGAGCCTGTGGTGGAACAATTGCAAGACCTAATTATAACCTCTTCAAATGACCAAATAGTGAAGGAGAATAGAGGTCAAGAAGAACTGGATGGTTCTGTTCACCTTTATCTTAATCGAACTCTCCATTCAAGAAACGGATCATGAATGCCAGGGAAATTGTTTTCTTCATTTCTAGGTTGGCCTTAATGTAGATGCCTTCCTTGAAAAGGTTATCCATTGCACAAGAGTCTAAACTGCACAGTGTGAATTTGTGATAAGCCCATGTACCATTTTATGCTGGAGAGCGTTTTTTGTGACGATTTTGGTGGCCAGTTCTCTAAGTTTGTTTACTTAAAAAGAAAGCAAAAGAAAAAAAAAATTAAGGACAGTGGTAGACCCCATAGGTAAGATATTCAGCAGGCTCTTCCTGTACACCATGTATAAGACTTACGAACACCAGCTTGCATGGTCTGGCTGAATACAAAAGTACTTCATATTCAGCAAAGGCAAACATATGGCACTGGCAACATTCCAGGTAAACAGGCTCATGCAAACACGATGATAAATACATGGCTGATGTTGGTTGTCTTTGCTGTTACTTATTATTTATGGAGCAACCTTGAAGTGTGATGGAGTATGCAACATGAAACTTTTTATTGCAGCAGTGGTTAGAACTTCGCAGGTGTTTCCACGTTTTCACCCCAGCCATTAGGCAGAAGTTTGCATTCTCTGTCACATGCCAGCCTGGATACTGTGCAGGTACCAATGACATCACCACTTCTCAAAAAATCTTATTTCCTAGTAGTCAGGATACAGTAGTTGTCAAGATATGGGTTTAAAATTTGACAATCTGGGGCTCTCATATTTTATTTTTTCATTTTAGGAGTGCGATAACATGCAATCATTATGCAAAGAGCAGGGTTGCCAGACCAAGTTCTGACATAGATGCACAATTCCAGGAAAATGTTTAGTGTTTGTGACTGCTAACAAGCACTTTGCTTCAGCAAAAGGATGCTACCTGCTAAAATAGGTGGGTCATAAGCCCATAAGTCTCCATCCTTGGAGATACTCAAATGCTATCTGGGCATGGTGCAACTTGCTCTACCTTGCTTTGCTTGAGCAGAAGGGTTGGACCAGATGACCTCCAGAGATGCCTTCAAACCTCAGCCATCCTGTGATTCTGTAAGGTGTTTCCTCTTCGCTTGCTTCAGCATCTTTAAGCCACAATGCATTGGATCTATAATTCTAATTTTAGAGGTGTAATCTCTCTTGCATTGTTTAGGGGACATATGTACAGCACTCAAGCCTCTGAGTAACACTTAAAAGTCAGCAAAGCATTCAAACCACTCAACAGGAAGAAGCTGAACTATTCAGCACAGTTGTTGTACAAAGAGACGAGTACCTTGTAGCTCTGTTCAGAAAAGCTGAACTTAGAGCAAATGACCTGTGGCAAAGGAATGTTTTGTTTTTCTCTGGTTTTGGGGTTTGGATATTTTTTTGATGGGAAAAGGTGTTTTAAATGGTGAAGCTTTTCAAAAGGGGAGATTGGATAGAGTTTTCTAAAGATGTTTGTATGCACTGTGAGAAGGCTTCGTTCCCATCTCACATTTCAAGATCTCAGGAGTTTCAGAACATAGCCTGCCCAACTGGTATCTTATAAATTACAGTGATACCTGATGGGGTAGGAAGCTTATAACAAATTGCCTTGAAAACTAGGAGCAGACTCCAACAAGATGAGAGATTTGAAGATGGCTTTTCTCACAACAGCCAGGAGCCTGAGAAGGAGGGCAGCCCCTTATGATGATATTGCTTGGATCCTTTTATTTAGCTATCTGTTGCACATGTGTTCATGAAAACACAAGAAATCACGTAGTAAGGATCCAGCAATGGAAGTTATTGGAAGCTATTATCTGCTTAGCAATACTTATATTGAAAAAAAAAAATTAATCTTCTGTTAAAATCATTCATATGATATAATACTATGAGGCTAAAAACCAAGTGCTGGGGACACAGTCATGAAAGATTTGCTCTAGTTGGAGAAACAGATTGAACCAATATTCTACACAAAGACGAGGCACCTTGCTTTTGGGCTGCCACATAAGCAACCAGTTTGGAGAAGTACATTCTTCAGTATGATTTAGTTCAAAAGTCTTGCAAGGGGATCTTTTATTACGCCGTTGACTTTGATGACAATTTGTAGTGATTGCTCGAAACTAACACTTCCTTCTGCAGTCTATCAGAGAGCTCCTTAGAGAAAATTTCCTAACTTATCCATATAGGTTTGCATTCATCTTCAGTGTCATTGAAACCAATTCCCAATATACTATATGTTTAGTAATTATGTTTAATATGCAACGATGACAACAGAACAGTGACTCCTTTCCTGAATTAAAATAACAGCATGGAAGCAAAAGTATAAGTATAGATTTATTAGAGAAGTTATCTAAAATACAATATTATTTTCCTCTTTAAATTAGAGCATATATTATTTCAATGAAAAGATACTTTGTATTATTTCTATGGTAATAACAACTTGTAAAGATAATACTTAATTTAGGACATTTTTAATTAAAAAAATCCAACACTACCATTAAGACATAATCAAGGTTGTTGATAGCATGGGTAAAAATGTAAAATGGTCTCAAAAATATTTACATGTCAGTTTCTAAAATCTAAAAAGTCTAATTCTCAATATTCATTTTGCTTTACTTTCTCAAAATACTTTTTTTCCTAAATCATACCTAGATTCTGTATTCCTGTGCTTTTCACAAAGCTTCAAGTTATCATTAGTTGTGTACTATCACACCAGTGGATGAGGTTTCTTAAAATGGCTTATTTCGCTACCACCATATCCTCTCCCAACATACTGTTATACCGAAGTGTCAGTCGCAGTAATAGTCACCAAAAAGCACACAGCCACCACCTCCCCCCACCCTATGCTTCCCCCCCAACCCCACACCTTAAGAATCCTTTCCTATTTGGCCGAGAGCCTTTCACATTTCATTAGCTGGCATTTTAGATGCTGAGCGAAAGAAAGAATGGATCTGGGAGACAAGATGTTGCCAGGGCACACATGGCAAAGGTTTGATTTGTGCTTAGCAAAAGGGGCTCCTCACAAACACAGCAATTTCTAATGCACTCAGCGCTGAGGTTACTGGAAGGAAGCTCTGACTTCTCTGCTCTTCAAAGGCTGACACGGGCGCCAGTTGTCCACCATATGGCACACAGGCTCGTTCTCCGCACTGAAGCAAAGGCCACGGAGTTTGC